AAATTTTTGCGAAAAAGAGGAATTTCAGCGAATTGCCTTATCATCACATGGCAGCGCTCCATTTCGTCGTAATTTTTAGTAAACAAATGCGGTTCAAACGAGAGTAAAATGTAATTTTTAAAATAAAGATTTTTTAGGTAATAAACCTACTAAAAGTATAAAATGTGGATTTATTTAAAAGTTTATGTAAAGTGTAAATTAATTAATTTAAAGTGAAAAATGTGAATAAAGTGTGTTTAAAGTGGTGAAATAGCCACTTGAAATGTCCGAATTTTGCGAATTTTTGAACTTTGAGGTCGAATATCTCCTAAACTAAGCGTTTGCGGTACCTATAACCCTATATATTTTTTGATCAGGAGAACGTCCTCTTTCCAACGGTAATCGCGGCGCCAAAGAAATCGGAATTGTGCCCTCTTTTCTACCACTACAACAACAATCACGGTGTCCGGGAAGATTTTCTCCGCATTAAATCAGCTAACAGTTGTTCTCGTTTGTAATGGATGTAATAACTTTTTTGTTTTGAATATTTAATGTAATTTCAGCATTTTTATTGTGATTTCTAATATATGTACATATTTATATATAATTTATTATAACGTAAATTAAGGTAGGTACTTTGAACTATTATTTATACGTGAATGCATTTTTATACCTACATAAGCATGCATTTATGGGCACACTCATAAATATTGCTTTCAGTACAAACGTATGTTTGTATATTGCACTCTAAGTAATTAAAGTTTTGATAGCCATTTTGTATACACATTTCTACAAGTAAAAACAATTATAGTATTTATGTACATACATAAGTAACTTTTAAATAAATGGTGGCACGATTAAGGCTTTCTAGAAAATTTTAAAAGTCAACAAGATATCTGAGAAACACTGCGGACGTGACTTATAGAAGTATTCAATATATAAGTATGTATGAATAATAATGTTATACATACTATATAAACGCCTTCTACGACTTTATCAACTTAGATGTGTAAACATTTACATGCAGTGCTGTCATAAATTCAAGACAAACTCTACTTAAAATTTCTTGCAGATGCATTGGATGTTACCATAAATAGGTAGCTAGCTTGCATAAATTAATTTCAGATTAATGTATGTATGTATGTAAGTTGCAATTGTTTATTCAATGTCTTAAAATTTTTGTGTAAAGTACTTTGTAAATAGATTGCATAAATACAAATGTATTTACTTATATGAATATTTAAAACTCTTGAAACGAAAACTTGAGTACTTAATCAGTCTTGTAATGAAAACAATGCAGTTTCTTCATAGTCCAAAGCCTTGAAAATTATTCTTTTTTTTATTTTTTGTTACGTTACTAAACTATTTCTAGAATGTTTTGCTTAACACGTACCGTTCAAATTTTTTAATTCTCATTTCATTTGCATTCATTGAGCATTATTTGCTTCCCTTTTTATGCACCTTTTGTCCACCACTTTCTCGTGTGCCTGTGGAATTTTCCACAAACCGATTAGGGTGAATTAAAGAGCAGAAAAGAAATGCGCCGTAATTTCAGTGGTTTACATACATAGTATGTATGTATGTAGGTACATATATTCAATAAGTGAAATTTATGTTTGAAATAGTAAAAAACAATTGAATTTTTTTCTTTATGACAATTTAGTAGTTCATAGGTTATGTGTATTAATATATTTCAAGGAGCTACAACTTTCAATATTAAATATGTCTACTGTTTTTAAAACGATAAGCAATATCTTTAGTGTTTTGTTTTTATACGATAACAACATTTATGGCACTTATTATGCACTTTTATAAATATAAATAATCGTATATTTTCAAATACCTCTTCTTTGCACTTTTCTAGAAAATGGTCAATCAAAGCCAATCTACGCCAATTTATTATACACACGTATGAGTATATAAAAATCAAAACATATGCTCACACCCATATATCATATCATATGGACATATGTGTACATACATGCTAACGTATGTATGTGTGCATACATGTATTTGGGAGTTGTGAATGTCATTGAAGTCATTTGAAAGCCAATAAGCCTAGGAAACAAGTACCAGACCTGTTTTCTATTTTACTTACATTTCGTTGTTTGGCAATTGCCACTTTGCGTTTTCAACAAAATATTGTTTTTTATTGGCATTATTCACATAAAGTCGTACATATGTACATTTGTATCTGCAATAAGGCTACCTAATTTACTGCCAAATTAAATACATCAGTTAGAGGGTAGTAGCATACTTAGCAAGAAATACAATAAACTGAAACAAACATCGCGCGTATGTGAAGTTTTCTCTACTTTTTGCAATAAGTTTAATAATATTAAACCTGCTATGTGTGTGATTGTTAACAGGAAAAAAAAAAACACTTGAAAATATCAAATAATTTTTGCTCAAACCACAATCAGTTTAAAATGCAAATATCCATATGTATGTAAAAACACACACATGCATACGTTAACATTTTGTATTCATATATGTACATACATACGTGTATGATACCATCTAACAGCCGTTTTGTTTAAAACACGCCATTGACAAGCCAAATAATAGATTAGTTAGCAAGGTCCTAAAAATAACGGCATTTGATTAGAAACGCCTTAATGCTATGCACATCGTTTATACTTAAATATATTTATTTTAATTTATGTATACACGCTTATGCAGAAATATATAAATATTTATTGATTTCTTGATTTCAAATAAGAGCTAATATCAATAACGGCACGTGAGTAAGTAAAAGCATGAAATTTGATTGTTTTCACATGAACATACGATGTTATGTATATACATACATATGTACACAGAATAATTGTATGACATAGTACAGCGAATCAAGAGACCGCCGCTGCGCTGGCTTGATCTTGCCCGAATGGAAGTAGAGTAATAGGATGATTTCCATCTCCTTGGTCGAGTAAAACTCTGAGTTCGTTCTTACCCCGAAAGGATTTAATGACTTTCATTGCTATTGTTCATGTAAGCGTAATTCAATTTATATCAAAGTCATCTAATAGATCGAGTCATTAGAATTAAGCGAGGACTAATTGTATAAAGAACATTGTATATTTAGTATGTATGTCGGGGTGAGAAGGCAGTAAGCTCTTGGCTTAAGTTTGTTGTGTCTACCATATAGTTTGGTTGGCGTACTGTTCGACATCATCGACCTAATCATGGAAAGACCTCTTGATATTCTTAAGAGCTTTAAGCAATTCTAACAAATAAATACATTTGTTTGCAATAAGCTTGAATACCGTTCTAATTGAGTCGCCTATACCAATGCCTAGATCTTAAATCTGATATAAATAAATAGCAACCAATTAGCGGAGTTAACTGTTGTGTGCGTCCAAATAGGTTGAGTTCGCTGCTTTACAA